GCCTCACACCGATGACCTATCCACGTCATCATTCACCCAGAATGCTTCCTGTGTAAATAAAATGGCTCCGTCCGTGTTAAAATATATTTTTAAAATTTTATAAAACTAAATGGCCTACAGTATTTTTACAGTCTTCATTTTACAGTTAAAATAAATGTTTATCAAATAAAGTCTAATGTTACAACTAATCAGGGATCCCTTTAAGGTGACAGATGACTCCTCGATGTAGAGAAACTGTCTGGCATTAAGTCCGTGAGCTTTCAACAAACAGCTGCCTCCTGCTGTAAACTTATGCACCAAAGAGAAAAACAAAGAATGCAGAGCTCGTGGTTTAGATGTTTTCCTCCTCTGACCAAACACAGTCACAGTGTGTTCTCATAAAAGAGCAGGGTGTCATTTCTTCACAACGCAAATAAAATACYAAACAATTTGCAGCAAGGACTGCGTGTGCTTTTATCCCTCTGCTATAAAATCAGTCATCCTAACTCAGATAAAACAAATGTGACATTTCTGTTGAGACTGTTTGTAATAACCTGCTGTTTTTCATTTACATTCTGCTTATTGAGATAATCTCTGTGAGCCTATAATGTTTTTAAGGTTCAATAAAAACAAAGTACTGTAGATGTGCCTTATAAAAGCCAAAGAAAATAAAGTTCAAATTTGAGCCAAAGGAACAATTTATTTATTTTTATTAAGGAGATCAACATCAATAGAATAGGTCAAGGACAGACCGCCCATCCATCAACCTTCTCTGTAGTCAGCAGCTACCTCAGCTGCTTGCAAGGACAACAAGAAAACCAAATAAGCCTCATCATGATACCAAGACTTTAGCATGACTCAGGGCTTTGCCTGGTCATATGTAGCTATGGTCTTCCTCACTTCTTGAGTGGTGATCTGTGACGTTGTCAGTGAGGTCTCGCCGGCAGCTGGAATCAAACACAATGCAGCTTGAATGCTTTAGATGTAACACAATCGTCCCGAGTGTACCAAGAATGGTCCCTGAMAGAATGAAATGCTGCTGCATCCAACATTTTCAACAGCAGAATAGATTTTCAACAATTGTGTTTTTCAGGGATTTCTCAGTCTGCGGCACTTGTGCTCTGTCTATGGAGCAGTTCTTGAATGTTTGAAATGCACTTATAATGTAGTCAGAATTTTCACTTTGAGCATCCAGAAATATATAACGAATTGTCCTTCCAACAGCATTCTGTGTGAGTAAGGTTTCAGTAACACTTCATTTTGTCTGGTTCTGTTTGATGCCTGCTGACTCTGAAGAAGTGTGACTGTATAATCAGTCAGACATATGTGGTCAAACAAAGTGTAAAGTGGGCAGATAAACCATCTGATGCTAAAGTAATGCAGTGTAAAAGTAAATAACAGTATTTGGGGATATGATGCATATCATGACAGAGGGGTCACGATACAATATACAGTGGGGAAAATAAGTATTTAGTCAGTCACCAATTGCGCAAGTTCTCCCACTTAAAAAGATGAGAGAGGCCTGTAATTGACATCATAGGTAGACC